TAAGAGAGGATGGTGCTGGGGGGCTCTTCGTTCGTGTCGCTGAAGCACTACCATCCTCTCCGTTCCTGTACTATTCGCTCTCCTCATCGATTGGTCAGATCGCGCTCGCTGCCTCTACCTCTCCTGTCCTCTACCGTCCCACTCTCCCTTTTTTGTATTGGACCTACCTCTCGGGAGTGATGCTTACCCTTTATATCTTTTACGTGAGACGGAACGTTTTGTGTGAAATCTTTCGCCGTCGATAGACTCCTTCTCCGTCTTTAACGCTCTTTCATATTCCCGTTACTCGTCCTTTTGTCCTGTTCACCATTGCTTTGGGGGGCCCTGGGAAGACGTGACACAACAAATTACTGAGCGACTACCGGAGAGAGAAACACTTTGTATATGTGTAGTGTGTGTTCGTGCACGATTGCAGACAATTGCATGAGGGATGAATGTGAATGTGAGTGTGGGGTCGTGAATAATAGAGACCCAGATGGGAATACTTGATCTCAATTATTCCCTTTACTTCTGTGTCTCTTTCGCCTGTCTTCTGCTCACCCTAATGCAAAACTATTGAGCCCTCTGCAAACATCCATGTGCCTCCTCGCTGTCTCCCCCCTCTACCTCATCCTTTCTGTTTCTGACACATGCGCGCTCACTCCTCTCACCTCTTGGTATATTCCTGCTGAATAATCAATTTCTGAGCTGGCTGATGTGACTTCAACACACACAGAGACACACACTCGCACACGCACAGACGCTGCCGTGAGACTGGATCGATACCCCTCTCTGTTCTGCTGAAGGAGGCATTGACATCATTCCTGGCCTCGAGCCAAACACACTCTTATCCTTCAGAAAGAGGGAGAGAGGGGGAGAGAGGCAGGGAGACAGGAGCAGGGAGGGAGGTAAAGAAAGAAAGATAGAAAGGGGGCACCGCTGGCTCTCAGCCTCAGCATGTGTGTTTGTGTGTACATTTGTGTTACATGTGTGTCTCCTCCGAGGGAAGGAGAGTAAGTTAGGAAGTGAGATTGGCAGTGAAACCATGCTCAGCGCCAAACACGATCATTGACTTGTTTTTCCACCGCAGCCTCTCACCTCCACTCCCTGGACCTTGAGCTTCATGTGATCCTCTCGGGTGGTCTTCCCGTCTTTCCTCTTCTTCCAGCAGTAGCCATCTTTCCTGTACTTCACCTTCTTCCGGTTGTAGAGGATCATAGAGCCATTTTGAGGCCTGATGGAGGACAGGATCAAGAATTAGACAGACAGAAATGGATATGTTGAGCACAGAGGACGCTTCAAAACAATTCAACTGCGTGGAATCCGGCCAGAAAATACTTTTATGCTGTCATTTCAAACTGTCAAAAGTCAGAAAATTATCTTGCATCGCTGATTTACAAATACTGACTACAGCAAGTTTTTCACAGTGACGTCAGTGTTATTATCCCACAGTCAAGTTAGCTGCTCCCCTGCGGCCCCTCCCCTCTTACACGTAGACTCACACTCCTACGTGTTAATATTTTAGTAGGGTGATCTATCAGCACAACAGGAACATTGGCCTCTAAGCTCTCATTCTATATACACCTGGTGGGATGAACATGCACACACACACACACACACACACACACACACAGCTCCTTAAGCATAATCAGGCTACAGCCGTTGTGTATTTTATTATGT